ATCAGGTTTATTAATTGATGTTTATAATTTCTTGCAAAACTTATTTACAATCTTTTGCTAGTATTCTATTCAGCAACTCAGACCCTTTTTTAATGTACTAAATCTTTCTCACAAAGTTTCTATTAATGAAAAGCACCTTTAGAAAAATTTCTTCAGTCACACAAAAAAAGTAAGCGAATTACAAGTGAGCAGTCTATAAAGTTACCAGTTTTTTTTCTAATGCAGACACTACCATCTCACAAGAATTAAATGTTAATGATGAAGCTAAAAAACAGATTTAAATTTTTGAAAAGCAATAAACTTAAATCATGTTAAAAACTATCGTTCAAACAAAAAATTAATGTTTTTAAAAACAATTAATAAAAAATGCAATGGATCTTTTGAACATATTTGTGATCTTGCAAAGAATTACCTTTCTGAAAACCAGATTAAATTTTTTGAGAATCAACTTAGATTGAGCAAGCAAACGAATCATGAAAAAAGGTTGACAATATGGTTTCTCTCCGCATCTTGTATCCTTGTCCTCGGACATTTCATATTTTGAGACAATTTTTTACTTGCCAAGTAAGACAACTTTTTTTTGTCAAAAGCATTTGGAAACTTAAAGCCTGGATTTTTAGCAAAGGTTTTTGCTTTACTCAAAATGTGAGTCAATTAAATAAATTTTTATGATTGCAACCGTTTTCTTGCAGTTGACGATGTATCTCTCAAGCAGCATGTAGACTTTGAAAGAGATCTTGACCACATGGGTATTGATGAAGATGGGGTATTGATGACGATTATGGGTATTGATGAAGATGGGAAACCATTAAATCATGTTTTAGTTATAATGGTTCGGGGTATTGCAATTAACTGGAAGAAGCCAATTGTGTTAGGTTCTTTAAAACAAGACCGAACATATTGCCTTCCACAATTCAAACAAATATATACATAATTTTTGACTCTCTGCACTTGATAAAAATTCTTTAATTAATATTTTAATTAAAGACTTTTTATCAAGTACATTAATTTAATTAGAAATGATAAATCTACAAACTTGAAAATTGTATTATGGAAATACTTATAGCCTTTTATAATATAGACAAGCAAAATCCAATTTGACTTGGTTCAAATACAAATTGGACATTTAATGTGACAGACAGTCACATTGAACCTGGATCATTAATATCTATGAGAGTAAAATTGGCACTAAAAGTTGGATTTCTACATGGCATATAAAAATGCTAGAATCCAGTATAGTATTTCCAATCACTGGGGATTTATAATAACAATAAAACTCATCATGACATTGTCTAGAGATCACAATTTAATGAGAGCTGTATGGAGAGTTTTTTTTCGATAATATGAAGTAAAGGTGGTTGGAATGACAGGCCAAACAATTTAAATCTAAGAGATAGGAGATTTGAAGAGGTAGAGAATGGAATCAGGAGTAAAAAAATGGCGAGTACGCCAAAGAGAGGCAATCTTAGCGGATGCTAACTTAGCAATCGATTGTATATATGGTTTCCATGAAAGGTCAGTAGTAATCGATAATTCAAAAAAACATAAAGAGGAGGACTCAGTGAGAAGGTTGCAATTCATTAATATAGGAATGTCGATAGAATTGCGATAATTGTTTGCAGTAATAACTGCGTTTTGTTGGAGTTAAAATTTACAAGCCGCTGTGAGCCCTAATCTATTACAGAAGTGAGATCAGATTCAAGATCAGCTGCCTGTTCGAAGCGATAAATAAGAGAAAACTTTTTGTCAAGACAGGAGTATAAAGTTGAGTTATCAGCAAAAAGAGCTACTTCAGATGTAAGGTTGTTTGGAAGATCATTAATGAAGATAAGAAACAAAACAGGACCAAGAATTGAACTTTCAGATTCCCCAGAAGTTACTGGAAATATATTAGAGTTTTAGGCTTCGAGGATGAATTTAATAAAGCGGTTAGAAAAAACTATAAGATAATCAAAAAACTTCCCAGCTACACCATAAAAACCAGCTTATGGATTAGACCTGAATGCCAAACTTTGTCAAAAGCTTTAGATATCTCAAGATCAGAAGTTCTAGCCTCTCCACCTCCATCTAATGTGCGATAATATCATTCAGCAGTTAGCAAGTCAGCCGTAGAGAAAGAGAATCGAAAACCGTATTGATTATCTGTCAGTAAGTTATTAGACTCAAGATGGAATGTGAGAAATTATTTGATCAAAGACTCAAAAATCTTGTTAATAACAGACTAGTTGCAATAAAAAGATGATTGGTCGGAAAATATTTGGAGGGGTCAGAATGTTTACCAGAGTTTTTGAAAATGGGAACAACAGATGTCATTTTCCAGCAGGCAGGAAAATAAGACTTAGTTATTAAACAGTTTAGAGAGAATTAGCCCTTATTGAGAGAATTAAAGAGACTTCTGGAGAACAATTTTGTAAGACAATGAAAAGAATATTGGATTGAATAAGAATAGAGGATTGTCAGGAAATTGAAGTCACAAAGTTAACTATCGGAATAGGGTCAGTAGCGTTAAAGTTGAAAATAGTAGGGACGGTAGAGTTAGAGTTAAACCATATAGTGTAATGAGCATTAAAGTCATCAATCTGTTAATTAATCTTAAGTCGTAATATAAAGTTCCTTATGTGGCCTCGACAATGCGCACCAAATACATTAAAAGGGACACCAATGATTGCAATTTTTTGCAAAACATCCTTATTTGACAGTATAATTAATGTTTATACTAATGTTTATTAAACATATAAATGTTTGGTATTTGCTCCATTTCAGGAAGTTATCTCAAAAACCAAATAATGCTGGATCTGACATCAAAAATCTATGCACATACACGAGGTAGAAGGAAATACTTATTTGTTTATAGCAAACAAATAATTATGAATTTAGGGGGGTCTCTACCACTAGCCACGGCACTGTATACATTTATTATTGTTTATATATATATATATATATATATATATATATATATATATATATATATATATATATATATATATATATATATATAATATATTTTTTTTTATATATATATATAATATATTTATATAATTTTTTTTTGTAAAACTTTGCTTTAGAAAATTTTAAAATTTTGAGGTTGTAAATAAGTAGCAAACTAGCAAAGTTGTAAGTTGTAAATAAAACAAGCAAAGTTGTAGGTTGTTAACAAGTAGCCAATTTTAAAAACTGTTACATATAAGATGTTAAATTTGGATATGTCTTACGGTTTTAATTCGTATTGGCATGACCTTTTGAGGTATCATTGTGCGACATGACATGCGAAAACCAGTAGCTTTAAAGTGTTGAAGAGTTGCACATTACAGTCATAAAGGCTGTGGATATATAAGGATTTCCATTACATTAATTACATATGAAGCAAGACAATAAAGTAATTCTGTCACTTTTTTTTTAATGTCAAATTACCTTGCCGAGGCCGCGAAGGCCACTATAAGAAGGATACTTTTTTAATTGGGGTTACAACCCTCTCTTAACTCAATAACTCCGAAACCTTGACTATCAAGACCGCTACGTGGAATAATAAGTTAGCGCGATACTACCAGGGATGAGTTGGGGATCGAACATCTCGCTTATAAGGCGATTGCTTTACCACTACATCATCTCACTGTCAAAGTTGTAAAGATATCAGTTTCACGCGATTTAGTAACTTTTATAATTTTACTCGCGTACTCAAAGTTTTATTTGTACAAATCTAAATACACGTCAAATAATAGTCATTTGTAGGTGTAAGAACATTAGTTGAAATTTTTGAGAAGTTACGTTTATTATTGGTGAATATTCAACATAAACGATACGACTACAACAACTTAAATCTGTACTGGCAAAAAACAACTTTGAAAAATCAAATATTTATTAATGTAAAATAAAAACTAACTTAATGGGATCCAGAAATATTGAATCAGTCTCCTGCATTGTCTTTGTTACATGCAGTTTTCTTAGACTTCTTGTCAACCTCTTATTGCGTCAAAATATAAACCTACTGCATTTAGCATACTATCAGTAGCTACTTAAGAAAAAGCTTCGATTGGGTTTTTCTCTTTATTAGCATTTATGTTATTATTTATAAGCTTTACCATTAATTAGTCAAATTCATAATCATTGAAAAATATTTCACAAGTTCCACTACCTGCATCAATTTAAACTATATTAAAGTTAACTGTTATTGGCACATCAATGTGCAATTGTATAAATTTTTGTTTTTGGTATGTTAACTTTGAGTACAAAAAATATTTTAGTCAATAACCTTTTCTTTGCCACTAGATAATAATTTACCTAAAACATAAAAGTATTAATAAAATAAAAACACTTTGTTTATAACACTTTACACTAACTTTCTGCTTATATTAGAAGTAAAATGATAAAAGAGTCAACAAATTATTCATGCAAATACAACTGTAAAGTTGCTTAAGATATAAATATTATAATATAATATTAAAAATAAGATAAAAATGCCTAAGATAAAAAAACTCATTGAGAATAACTTGTTTATATATATATATATATATATATATATATATATATATATATATATATATATATATATATATATATATATATATATATATATATATATATATACACTAACTTTCTGCTAATATATGAAATAAAATGATGAACGAGTCAACGGATTAATCACGTAAATGCAGCAGTAAAATTATATATTTTTTTAACATTATCAATGCTTCGATATTTGATTGTTACGCAACTATTTTGTTTGTGACGTGACTTAGTAAAATGTGACACAATGTGAATTAGAAAACCCAAGCAAACCGACTATTGATGATATTTAATGGCTGGTAATAATATCCGCATGTTTCAAAGCTGATGATGAGCCTCTCTGAAAGCTACTAGAGAATGTAACATCCACGGAGCTACCTAAGAGACGTTAAATATTTTATTTTAAAATATTTTTTTAAACATTCGTTCAACGTAAGTACTTGGAATATTTAATAAAATGCTAAAATAAAATGAATATATTTTTTTATAAAAAATAGTTTTTAATGCAAGAATTTTAGGAAAAAAATACTTTTAACAGGATTATAAATAATATTTTAATTTATAGACGAAAAACGTAAGAATCAGTATGTGTAATGTAACGGATCCATTGTTTAGGCTGCTGGATACTATGGCATTGTACCCTCAATGATTTTATTTGTAACTTAGAACATACATATGAGGGAATTTCAAAATATAATGACACTGGCCCTATTTCTTTTTGATTTGCAAGTGTAACAGACGGCATCAAAAATTTTATGTAACAAAGTTTTTCTCCTCCACCAGGAATACGTTTTATATTCCATTTAACAAAACCTTCTTTTGAATCATATTCTATTATATCACTAGATTCGTGTAAAACTCTAGAAGTTGATTTGGGTACATTTACACAGACTGTAATATTCGTTGCACCGTGCGTAGTCGCAATGTCACACACAAGTTTTAAACGAAGCCTTATTTCTGAATTGTTAATTACTTCCATAAAAGGATGCAACTTTAACGGTCGGTTTGAGTTACTGTATATGTGGTAATCCAAAACTGTCAATTCACCTCTAAAAGATTTAAATGATATTTGACGATTTTGCTCAAACAGCTCTGTATTGACCGCCTCATGAAACGTATATTCGTCTATTACCAAAGAATTTGAAACAAAATCAGTCATATTACAAAAAACAACATTTTCACTTAAAATAATTGATATATCAGCTGAACCAGATATAAAGCTTTTGATATTTATACAACCGTTAATCTCAGAACGAATTACACTTCCGTTAGGAGAAATTAGAACTACTAACTTTTCCAGGACGTCCAAAAATATCTCATTTTTTGAGTCAGAACGATTTAATTCTAATACTGAGCGGTTTGCAGACGAATTTGGAATATGACGCTTTTCACCGCCAAAAAGACCAGAGCCAATTAGTTCGGTCCGCTTATTGAAACACAGCGGTTGGTTAAATATGAAATTGTGCAAAAGATCTGTTGAAGTGTTTTGCGGAAAACCAAAATCAAGAATTTCGTCAAGCAACTCGTATATAAGCGCAAAATTTGATTGAATTGAAACCTCGCTCAGCTCACCACAATACTCTTTACATAAATTTACTAATTTGTTTAAAAATTCAAGAGCAAAGACCGGCGCAATGTTGTCGGTAGTCACGCACACAAAATACAAACCAGATCTTTGAATGTAAATAAAATGCTTTTCTTCGATGCTAATGAATGGAGAATGGGAACGACTGTTAGATTTAACATTCTTGTAAAATATTTCAGGTGATTCTCGTGTAAGTCCTCCTCGAAAATCTCGAAATGCTATTGTATCGCCACGTGCAGACATAATAAACAATTGTGAAAACATTGCTGATAAAAAAAAATAATCATAATACAGATAAATTACATAAAAAACTGAATAGTTTATACAAATCATAAAAAAAATAAACAATCATACAATATAAAAAAACTTTTAATTACTTCAAAAATGTATATATATAAAGAGGGACAATAAAAATTTGGGATACTCAGAATGCTTCTTTTTTTGTCAAAGAATTTAATCTGTCAAGTACATTTGCTGTAGCTTCACAAACCAATTGAAATTTTTTTTCTTCGCCATAAATACCAGCCTCGTGTTGATGGCTTGTTGTCGCGTTGCTAAGATAAGATATTTGTTCACTTAAATTCTTTTCGACAGCCTCTAATCCTGACAAATATGCAAATGAAAAATATTTTATTTAATTATGAATTCTACAAAATTTTATGTTAATATTTTGAATTTCATTTGATTTTTATAGGATTGAAACTTATAGATTTTATAATAACAAACTTTAAAACGTTTGATTAAAAGGTATATGTTAGACTTTTATCATCTCCATGTTTACCTTTTAAAAATTCAGTGGTTCTGGAAATAATGTAATCTTCAGATGGTTGTTCTTTTGACAACTCTAACAAAGACTGTCCAGCTGATTCAATCACTGCTACCAAATCTCGTTCAATCTCCTCAAGTTGCTGGAGTCGATCACGTGATGTTGAAAAGGACATGAAATATGTTGTAACCAGTAAATAAGTTTTCTTTGCTTCTGAAACTAAAAACTATTGAAGTTTTTTATAATTTAAGTAAATCCTCATAATCTAAAAATCAATTTCTTAGAAAAGATCTATAGATTCATTTCTCAAAAAAAAAAAAAAAAATCATCAAAACAACTTATTGGTGAAAATAAGAGTAACAAATGAATAGAAAAATTAGCAATAAAAATTTAAGTCTTCGGGGAAAAAAAAAGTGCATTCTATTTTAAAATTTACAAACGTTTACTAGAATCATCTTTAAAAATATGAAAAACAACAAAAAGTTTTTAGGATAAGATTATAATAAAAAAGTACAATTGAAAAAATATATTACATTTTGGTGTAAATTTTACACACAAAAAAAGTCAACGTCTATATATTTTTTATTTGATGTAAATTTTTAACTACACCTATTAAAAAGAGTTATAATCCGCCTATTTAACTACATTATATTCTGCAAAACTATAGTGAGATTAGCTATCCGAATCATCTGAGCTGTCTTGAAACACCTCGTCCGCAAGATCTGGAAGTGGGAAGCGGAGAATGGCAGCAACTCCTGACAAATTAGCTAACTCTAAAAGAAATATTTTTAATTTGAGATATGATTTTAACCAATACAAATTAAAATAAATGTCAAATAAATAAACAAGCAAAAACAGTTGATAAACATTTATTGAATATACCAGATAAAAATTAAAAAACTTAAGCTATAAAAATTTCTGTTTTCCAAATAAAAGCGATCTTTATAACATTACTGCCCTTTTATTACATCCTTTTTAATCCTTGACAATCATAATAATGTTTCTACTGCCTTTTTAGCGATGATTGGGTTGTATCTAATTTAAGTCCAATTATATAATATAATAATATCAGTCATTACTGCAGTTGCAGGTAAAGCTTATGCACTTAGTCTAAAATTTCTACAAAGTTCATGGTGGCAGAATATAAACTTTTTCACCCTAACGCATTTGCTAATGAGTTTTTGGCTTTATATGTAACAGAAAGTCAAGAAACAGTCATTGATAATCCATTTCCAGCTTCAAAAAAAAAAAAAAAAAAAAAAACTTTATTTAAACAATGATAAAAAAATATATATATATATATATTCAACAACAATGACAGTGACAATAATATGTTAAAATCATAACAATCTCATAAATTTTCTTGCAATTCTATTCAAGGAATAGAATTACAAAAAAAAAAAATTATTGAAAAGAACTACAAGACAAAAAAGAATATTCAATGTAATTGATTATTGAATTAAATATAATTATATATATCCCTTGATAATTTAACTCCATAAAACATATTTAAACAAAGCCTTTGAGTGTTATCAAGCCTTTTCTATTTCATTTCTAGTTTAATTTTTTCAATTAATGAATTCTCTCCCAATAGACTGAAAGCTGAAATTTAAGTTGACAGAAAATAAGGAGAAGAACTTTAAGTTGTAAGTAAAGAAATTTAAGTTGACAGAAAATATGGAGAACAAAGTTGACAGAAAACTTAAAAAACTGTAATTATTACAATTAAGGAAAACATAATGATGGCATAGAATTCCAAAACAAGGATGTTCAAGAAAAAATTATTATTTTTTTTTTTAAACATAAATGAAAAGGAAATAATTAGAAAGGAATAATTTATTAATCATTAAAACTTTCCCAATCAAGCCATATGATATAAGTTTATGGAAAAGACAAACATGCCAGACTTTATCGAAAGCCTTCGATATGCCAAGAATAATAGTCTTAGCCTCAATTAAACCTTTCTGTTATAACAGTTAACAAGTCAGATTTAGAATGAGAAGATCAAAATTCATTGGAATGTCATATTAGACTCAAAAAGAGAAATTTGTTTATGAAAGACTTTAAGATCTTGCTAATAATAGAGATAATAATAGCTAGAGGTGTCAGAGTGTTCTATTGAAAACAAAAATATTCTTTCCTAGCAAGAAAACAAGATTCAGTTAAGCACTTATTAAATAGATTAGAAAGTATTGAAGAAAGTTCTGGAAAACACTTTTTTAGGAGTATGAAAAGAATGTTATCTAGAGCACAAGCAATAGATGATTCTAAGGAAGAAATAATTTTAGCAACAGAAGCCACAGTGATTTAGATATCTAAAAATGTATTATTTTATTTCTTTGAAACGACAGTAAGAATGTAGTCATTAGAATCAAGATCGGAATTAGATATAGTAGTGTGGAATTAGAATAGTAGAAAAAAGAGTGGAAAGGTTCTTGAGAAGAAAAACATTATTAAAATTTTTTAAAGAAAATCCATGGGGGTAAAATGAGGTTTGACTTATAACTGACAAACAATAAAAACTTCCATGTCTGCTTAGATCCACACGATTATGTCTAAGAGATAAAAGATTAGGAGAGATCATAGCATGGTCTAAAACACCTAGAGTTGCAAAAAAACGCGTTTTTTTCCTTTGGCGTTTTTTTGGGTCAAAAAAACGTGTTTTTTTGGTTTTTTTGGCGTTTTTTTGGTTTTTTTGGTGTTTTTTTGGTTTTTTTGGTGTTGTATTGCTTTTTTTAAACAATTTTTCAGTTTTTTTTTACATAAATTTTGGACTAGTTTTCCTTTAATCTAGTATAGATTTTAGTATTTGGCCATTAAAGGCACAATTAGATGTATAAACACCAGTTTAACAAAAAAATTTTATAAAAAATTTAAATTAGCTTTAAGTTAGTTATATATTTAGGTATACTGTATGAAAATGTTTATTTTCTGTTTTGTTGTACTAACAACTGTGATACTCTCATTATATATAAAAACTATTCTTATTCTATAAAAAAGTTACCATTTTAGTCTTGATAATGTAAATACATTAATGTATTTACATTATCAAATTTGATATCAGACTTCGAATGCTCAAAAAAATAAGCTATCTATCAAGATTATTAACTTAATTAAGCATTTGTATATTATGTAGTAATTAAGTCTTACATTGTTTGTTTGTTATATCAAAAAAAGAATTATTGCTAGTATGCCCATTAAAAAAAAGCCCTATACTGAACTTAGTTTCAAGGAAAATTTAAAAACTTTTTAATTATTATTATTTAGAGAGTTTCCCAGACCCCATTCACCTGATGATTCGTAATTTATTTATTTGTAATTAATTTTTTAACAGCATTTTTTTTTTCTAATTACATTTATTCATCTAAATATTTTCATATAGCACTATATCAGAACACTTGCAAAATTCTTTAATATGCTCTGTTTTTCAATTCAATTTTTAGACATAATCTTAAGGCAAAAGAATTGTTTATCTTTTTCCATTTTACTAATTTGGTTCAGAGGTTTAATGGGTGACTAAGGCTTTATTTCTGCCCCCTGTATGGAGAGCCTAATCATAATTCTTTTTGTTCTTCCTGTTGATTACCAACAAGAAAAAAAAATTTACTTAATAATTTAAAGATCTCTTTATATATATATATATATATATATATATATATATATATATATATATATATATATATATATATATATATATATATATATATATATATATATATATATATATATATATATATATATATATATATATATATATATATATATATATATATATATGTATGTATATATAGATATTATGGTGCTTTAAAAATCACTACTCAGTGTTAAAGTATTTTTTGTATTAATCTATTTTTTGTCAGTATTTTTTGTGTTAATCTATTTTTAGATTCTAATTCAGAAAAGATTTATATAAAATTTCTCTTTATTTGAGTAATAAGTTGACTTTTTTAATGTAAACATTTTAGAGACCATTTAAACAATATTAGGGACCTGTTGAATAGAAATTGAGCTTAAGTATGAACTAAATATTAAACAATTAAACTTAAATTAGACTTGAAATTTCAAATTGTGTATCTGGGATTATTAAATCATTTCTTTCTAACTGCTTTATTATAATCATCGTCAAATGCCTACTTATTTATTTCTAGTAACTTCTGGGGTTAATCTCAAGGTTCTATTCTTGGTCCTGTTTTGTTTCTTATCTACATTATTGATCTTCCTGACAACCCTACATCTATAGTAGCTCTTTTTGCTGATGACTCAAGTTTTTGCTCCTGTCTTGACAAAAAGTCTTCTCTTTTTGATCACTTAGAATAGGCAGCCAATTTTGTATCTGATCTTACTTCTGTAACAGATTGGGGCTCACATATTTTAGCTTATAAATTTTATTTCTAACTAAACTCAGTTATTTACTGCAAACAACTACCACAATACTGTTGACATTCCTATATTAATTAATGGTAACCCTCTTACTGTCTTCTTTTTTACATCTTCTTGGAATATTATTTGCTACTAACGTTTCATGTACACAAAATATACAATTGATTGCTAAATTAGCATCCCTTTATCATTATCGTCGTTTTCTTACCCTTGATTCCATTCTCTACCTCTAAAAATATCTTTTTGTCCCTGTATAGAATGTTGTTGTCATATTTGGGCTGGTTCTTCTTATGATGCCCTTTTTCTTCTAAACAAGCTCTATCTGCTAAGCTTGAGCCTTTTTCCCATTGTCGTAAAGTTGCATCTCTTTCTCTTTTCTACAAATTCTATCATGGCGGCTGCTCAAAATAGTTATTACCTCTAGTTCCATTAACAAAAACTCATTCTCGACTCTTTATTATGCTAAGTCTCATTCATTAGTTGTTAAATTTTATTAAATATAATAAATGTAAATAAATGTTTATTGTGTCAATATACACTAAAAACAGTAAAGATAAAGTTGAGGAAGATAAAATTATCAAAGAAGTTTTTATACAAGACACCTTTAACCGTGTTAATATACCAAAACAAAAATTAATTCAGTAAATTTCAGTATTTATTGTCCTATTTAAATCAGAAATTAAAATATTGCCATTAAAGTTAAATTTAGTAACTTAAACAATGAATTTTTGATTATTTCCCAAAAAAACCAAAAAAACGGACCCCTATGTTTTTTTTCCAAAAAAACGACCAAAAAAACCAAAAAAACAAGAACCAAAAAAACGCGTCACATCTCTAAAAACACCTAAAGGAAAACACAGAGAAACTGAATACAGGCTAGGGTCAGAGAATTAAGGAGTGAAGACAAGTGATTAGAGTTATCTGAAAAATGATTCATTTTTCAAAAACTGAGTAATAAAGTAAACTGAGTAAAAGATTGAGATAGAAATACAAATTTTTAGCAGTGGTGCATGAGCCAAGCCATTCAGTACAATTGGTGCTAAATTCACCAACAATAATAATAATGACTGATGGATAGAAAGGATTGATTTGATTAGAAATAACTTTAAAAAAAGCAGTCTTGAGTCAAGATTGAATTAAACTAAAGTTTAAATTCAACCTTGTGTGACTTATCATTCAGTAAAATAACATCCATTTTTTATTGTTGTTATTGGTACTTTAACATTTTATAGTTTTTTAAGCCTTTTGTCAAACATTTATTTTGCTTCTTAACATTTCTTTTCTTTGTTTTTATTAAATTCCAACCCAAATAGTGGTTTCCTGCAGTCTTGTTAGAAGTTAACTTGAAAAAAAAAAAAAAAAAAAAAAATCTGACTTGGCTGACTTCTTTCCA